GCTCTAGGCCTCAGCCTGCAGCAGGAGGTCCCAGGCCTCAGCCTGCTTAAAAGGCTAAAAGCATTTATCAACCTGAATTCAAGCTGCAGAAGTTTTTCTCTAGAGCTCTTCTCCACAGAGCCCCTTCTTATGCCTCCTTTGTTCTAGGAACAAGAACATTAAGAGTCCCAAAGCAGGAGGTGAACGCCATACCCGGCAGAAGAAAGGGGACCATTGCATCTGCAAAGACAAGAACAACTTTGTACGCAATCTCTGTGGAAACTAGCTCTGCCTCTTGAACTTTTGAACTTTGACTATAAAACCCCCTGCCTTCTCTCCCCAGCGGCTCACAGTCTTAGAGGCATTAGCCCACTGTAACCTCCACTGCCTGGCAAAGAGATAAAGCTGCCTTTCTACTTCACCCAAAACTCTGTCCTCGAGTCTCCATTTGGTAAGCTGGGTACAGAGGCGTGTTTCGACAACAGTACAACTCCATGAATTTTGACAAATGTATATTCTCATGTGACCTCCATCAGGCATGATACAGAATAACTCCATCACCTCAGAAAATGTCCTCCTGCCCCTTTACCATCACTCCCTTTCACCATCGCCAAGCTCTGCAACCACGGATTTTCTTTATGTCATTATAGTTTTGTCTTTTCTTAAATTTCATATAAATGGAATCATCTAGCTTTTTCTATCTGGATTTTTCCACTTAGTATGATGTATTTGAGATTCACCCATATTGCTACACGTATCAGGAGCTCTGTTCTTTTTATTGCCAAGTAGAATTCTATTGTCTGGATGTACCACAGGGTTGTTAATCCATTTGAAGGACCCTTGAGTTGTTTCCAGTGTGGGGCTGCTATGATAAAGCTGCTAGGAACATTCACGTACAAGTCCTTGTGTGGACGGATGCCTCATTTCTCTTATGTAAACACCTAGGAATGGGGTTGCTGGGGCACAGGGTAAGTATACATTTAACATTTTAGAAACTGCAAACTGTCTCCCAAAGCTGCTATAGCATTTCAAGTGAGCGTTAATCTTTTTTCTTTTGTTTGAATTGAAGTATAGTCAGTTACAGTATGTCAATTTCTGGTGTATGGCATAATAGTTCAGTCATACATATACATACATGTATTTGTTTTCATATTCTTTTCCATCATAAGTTACTACAAGGTATTGAATATAGTTCCCTATGCTATACAGTTGAAACTTGTTTTAATCTTAAAAACTTCAGATGCTCTGCCTTGCAGTAGGAGTCAAAAAAAAAGATCACTTCTGGACCATAGCAGAGGTAACCATGGCAGTGTCACACTGATGATGAGTTGAGATGCACGTTTAACTGCCTGGAGGTTCCTCATCCCTGCGATGTGAGAGGGAAGCCGTAAACTGGGTCATTCGCCCTCATCCTGTGTCTCATCCTCCCCTACCCTTCCATTCTCTTCCTGTGCTGGGCCCTGGCCTGAGTGCCAAGTGCAGAAGCAGGAAAGGCAGTCTATACATAATGTATGAATTACCAGGGAATTAAATTTCCACCCAAAGCAAAAAGCCATAGTTGCCTGACTTTAAATTAACTATTCATTGGTTTCGCTACAGGATCCTCCATCGAACAATGGGCAAGTCATAATTCTAAGTAGACCCAGCAGACAAAGCAGGATCCCTTTTCCTCACTGGACAACGAACCGGAGTCAGTTCTCAGTTACACAATCAGTCAGTAAGCATGTGTTGAGCAGCGCCAGGATGCTGCAAGTGGAACTAATATTTCTTGAAACCTTACTGTCCTTGCCCACCCACTCCGTGGGTGTTGTCATTACTCCTTGACAGATGATTAAATGGAAACTTGGAGATGTGATGCCGAAGCTATACCCAGCAGAAGCCAGAATGGACTCCCAGGTCTTTGTGCTCTGCTGTTCCTTCCCTGGGGAACATGTAAGGTGGGGAGGGGCGGGGGCGAGGCTAACATGCATGAAAAAGACAATCCAGTTCCCCCCACCCAGGGCATTCCTGAAAAAATTGACTGTTGCTTAAAATTGTGTTTTCCCTGTAAGAACACTGTTTTGAGTTGGGAGTTTGTTCCTGATTAAGACCTTGACGTAAATTAAGTGATGAAAATGTCCTACAAGTAAAGTTATTACAAACAGAAACCCTTATAATAACATGTTAGTAAAGTGAAGTAAGCCAGAAAGAGAAAGAAAAATACCATATGGTATCAGTTACATGTGGAATCTAAAAAAGAAGACACAAATGAACTTATTTACAAAACAGAAACAGACTCACAGACATGGGAAACAAACTTAGGTTACCAGTGGGGGAGGGGGTGGGAAGGGATAAACTGGGAGTTTGAGATTTGCAGATACTAAACTACTATATATAAAATAGACAAGCAGCAAGGTCCTACTGTACAGCACAGGGAACTATACTCAGTATCTTACAGTAACCTATAATGGAAAAGAATATGAAAAGGAATGTATGTACGTATACATGCGGCAGTCACTATGCTCTATACCAGAAACTGACACAACACTGTAAACTGATTATACTTCAATTAAATAAAAGAAGAAGAGGCAAAAACAGTCATGCTGAATAAAAAGTGTATTAAAAATAAAAAGAAGTAACGTGTTCGTAAAGCCATGCTCAGTCTTTATGAAGCAGACATGGGGGCATGACAGATGTTAATTACACAAGGGGCCCTATTCCACTGCCAGTGTTTTTATGCAACACAAAAAAATGTACTATGTCTTTAATATAATTTAAAACTAATACGCTTGAAATGTGAACAGTGAACATTTAATTACAAGCGCTTTTATTCATGTTTAGAAAAGCACTGGGACAAAAATACCAATGGCTTTGGCCTCTTTATAAAAGCCGGACTGACATTTTGTATGTGACCTTATTTCTCTTTTGTCATGTTCTTACTCTTATGGACAGGGTCCACAGATGCACATCAGGGAACTCTGGACCACCTGAAATTGCATGCAACATGTGATATATATTTTTGCTGGAATTGCTAGCTTTCATCAGATCCTCACAGGCCTCTGTGATACAGCCCCAAGTTAGAATCACTTATTTCTTAGTTTTTTTCTGTTGCGAATAGTGGCATTAAAATCATTTCAGTGAGTTGCAATCATTCTTTTAAGAAGTGGCCTGGATGTTCTGTTCTTGGCAGTGTGATGGTCTAGATGGTACCTCTCTATAAAACAACTGGATCTTGCAAAAACAAAATTTTTAATGCATTGGTGGGTATGTGGGTAGTAGGGGAAATCACCAAGGTTCCTCACCACTAAAATTAAGAAACAAATAAATCATGGACCTGAGGTTGGAGGAGGGAAGCCTTGATTGGAAAGCAAAGGAAAGGTTGGGTGGCTTTGAGGGCAAATGCCCATTTCAGTCGCTCCTGGGAAGCACACCCTTGGGCCAGTAGCAGCGTGGGGGATCTGCCTCAGAACTCCACCTTAGCTCAAGTCTTTAAGGGACTGTGCATTGTCACTGCCCTCCCCCCTTCTCTGGCCTCCTTTGCATCGCTGAGAAGCAGAAACTACATTTCCCAGAATCCTCTGCCCCATGGGGTTTCAGTAGGGGCTGCAAATGAGAGGACCTTGGGAGAGATTTGGAAGGCAGGTGAAAGGGACGGGGTGCTATTCTCCGGAGGTGTTGCAGGCTGACTCAGGAGCAGACATGAGTTCACAGTAGCTTCTGGATGTGCTTCTGCAATGACCTATAGCCCTGAGGGTGGGTGGCCGCTTCCCAGAGGCTCTTGAGATTAGAGTGGCCTCAGGGCAAGTCTCAGAACCACCCACATGGGTGCTACAGACTGAAGTTGCACTTGAAGGCTCCCTTACCTTTGCTCCCCCAACCTTCCAAAGGTTGTGTAAACCTCTTTTTCCCTGTACCCAAAATTTAGATGCTTGGCATGTCAACTATCAATTTATCGCCTTTTCCAAATTCACTTTTCAATACCTCTTCTGTGATTATGGGCAAAATTTCTTTACACCTAACTTACTACTGTCAGCATGATCTTACGCTTCCTCAGTAGATGGCACTGGAAAGATTAACATAACTAGTAGGAAGTGTTTAAAGAAATCAAGATGGGATCACGGGCATAAGCAAGGGATCAAAAAGACAGTAACCAATATTGGGGAGGATGCGGAGCAACTGGAATCCTGAACACATCGCTAGTGGGACTGTAAAAC